TGAGATTCAATTTTCCCCTCCCCTCCCAAGTTCTCCACTCGCATGGAGAGAGGCTTATGGAAGTAAACTAAACAGAAGACGGCTTAGTTTGCGGGTGCAGAAGAGCTTAGCACACATCCCCTCTGTTCAGAGCTCACTTCCTTGATTCAACAGCCAAACAGGGTTCCCTTGAGGACTGTATACCATTTGGATTGCATCAAATGGAATTTTGCCACACAACTCTGTGACAAACTCAACACTAGCCTGCTCCAAAAATCCCATCTCATTGTACCCTAAGAAAGCCAATGAGTATTTGAGAGAGAGAGAGAGAGAAAGTGATCATAAGAACATAGGAAGAGCCCTGCTGGATCAGGCCAAGGGCCCCTCTAGTCCAGCTTCCGATCTCTCACAGTGGCCCCACCAGATGCCTCTGGGAGCACACAAGGCCACTAGAGACCTGTCTCCTGATATCACTCCCCTGCATCTGGCATTTGGAGGTCCCTTCCTTTTAAGAGCCTGGATCAGAAGAAGCTGACAATCTGGATGCTCTCCAGATGTTCTTACTTCTTCATGTGTGTGGCAGGTAAATACACATATGCACAATGCCTTTAATCACAGACTCAAAGACACAGCAGGGTGACAGGGTTCAGGCTGTCTGGCGTCAAGAATGTTAGGGAAGCTTATGCCTTTCACTGTCATACTCTGAAGCTATCAAGTGCTGGGAGACAGCAGTATCCCAGTTGGTATTTTGTGTAGCAATATCTACTACATGTACTGATCTATGCTCAGTGTCAGTTTGACTCAACAGAACAAACTCCCAAGGTTGGCCGTGACTTTTACAGGGGACAGTCCTCTATTTGAAAGGTTGCTGCAGGAGATCCCTATTTTTGAAGTTTTACCCTTTTTTCAAGAGTTGACAAGTCAAAGTTCAAAGATAAAAGAGCCATAAGGAGTAAGACTGGGGACCATGAAGCTGCCCATGTACGCCAAGCAGACTTAGAGATCACACAGGTCCCCTGGTTGGTCTTCCCCACTCATGCATGTGAGTAGACATGCTATAATTCTTCTTAATTCATAAGGATCAATTGGAATTTTGCAAACATAAATATTAACTAGTATATACAAAAGGTGTCATTTTTGATGACATAGTTGTCTTTTCTTTTTTTTAAATAATGTGAAGGTGTTCACCATAAATAAGACCATTTACCTTGCCAATGTTAGAACAGCGACGTGTACTTTCTTGACTGGACAAGTCCTTCTGTAATTTGATTTCAATACAGGCAACCCAAGTTTTCAGACAAGTTTGAGCTAGGTTAAGCTCATCAGAGTACAGTACTTTAGCACTATGGGGTGGTACATACGTTGAAATAACAACAACATAATCAGGGCCAAAGGAGGTATTACGGATTTCCAAACAGAATTAATACACAAGAAACCCCGCATGCTTTTGTATTTCACAACCTGAGCGTTTTACTGAAGGCAACCTTTCACAAGCTGGGTTGACTATTAATCTCCATATGGTTTGATGAGTTTTAAATTATATAGCCAAAGCAGCTGGAACTCTCATTTAGCCTGGACAATCAAGTTTGAGATCTGCAGCTAATTAAGAGACTATGGACTGGTGTGTATTTTTAGTCTTTTTCAATTCAGATACATTTTTTTAATTCTCCCATTCCTGGATGCTACAGGTAGTCTTCAAGGTTAACATTACATGCATCGACATCCTTGTCTTAATTTGAATGTGGCGATTGGTTCACATGTCCCCACGCACTTATGCTGAGGGCTCAAAATGGAATACATCTTCATCATAACGAACACTCTTTGAGAATAAGCAAGGTGCAGCCACTTGAGCAAGGCCACACAAGACACTGCCTTACATCTCTTGCTCAGGCACATGTGAACACAGGGCCATCCACCACAAGACTCACTCACCCTCAAAAACTAAAAACTAAAATAAAATTAAGTTTTGCCCACTTACTCCACTAGCAGAGTTCTATTAGTTGAGATATCAAAGGGAAGGGCCATCTAAAGTCTAGTACTAAACGTTACACAGACTGCACACAAACCAACTGTGCACATAACAAGCATCCCAAAAAGCCAGATATCCACTATCGACCAAATAATGCAGTTTTCAGGAACCAAATGAGTGTTGGAGTACTTTGGCCTTGGAGAATCAGTTCTATGGGTGTTTAAAAGCATGGCGAGTCAGTGACATTTGAAAAAATAGCTAAGATGCCTTGCATGAACTGGGGTTTACAGTGACCTAGAACGAACCTGAAAGTCAGCTGGAATGGCTGAACATTTTGTGATAAAGATAAGGGTCACTTGCGCAGAAGTCTATGAATCAGTCCCATGTGTTTTTGAAAGAGCCCTGTTTCAATCTTCACAACAGCAGTACCATTTCTTGCCTATCCCCATCGGTGAAGACAGTAAAATTTCACTGAGCAGAATGCAAGGTATACGGTACTGCCAGGTATTGGGCTTACACCCAGTAACACAGAGCAGGATGAAACCAAAGGCTGAGGCAGTCACAAATTTAAGGGTACGAAGCATTATCAAAGAAAAATAGCAGCTACTTTGCTAAAAAGGATAAAAGAGTTAAAAATAAGGAGGGAGACACAGAAAGGAGAAAAGTCAGTGAAAACAATTATTAGCAAACACAAGGCCATTACTACTGACATCAGCAAAGCTGGGTCTCTTATCACAATTCTTCCTAAATTAGTTACATTTAACAGATGGTGTTAAATGCATAACACCATTTGTTAATGCATAACGGGACTTGTGGACAGGAAAGGAACTTTTTTTCTCCCTACCTTCTACACCAATTTAGCAGAATAAGGACCCTTCACTTCGAAACTAAATTTTGCTAACCCATCTTTTTATCTCAGGGCCAACCTGTATAGATCTCTATACCACACCCTGCTGGTATAGAGTCTAGCTTCCAGAGCTGCGGCAAGTGGATCGAACTGGGCTTGACGGGTGCATGATGCTACTTCCCATGCCAACACTGCTCTGCAGCCCAGCTGTGAGAGGAAACCACTCACCCAGCCTGTACGGTTCCAAGTTGGATGTGGGCTTTCAGCAATTAACTTGTTACTGGGAAGGAGGATTTAAACTGATTGGTGGCGTAGTGGTCTCCAACCTTGGGCCTCCAGATGTTCTTGGACT